CCTCGAAACGGACGTCACGGGAGTCAAAGAACCGGTGAGAGGGAGGGTGGTAAAAGGTGAAGTCAGAGGAGTCCTCAAGGAAACCAAGGAAGACACAGGGGACGGCACGAGGCGAGAGCTTGTCCGCGGAGGTGTCGCGGACAAGAGCCAAGCACCCCCAGACACGAAACCGCGACGCAACACCAGGGGACCCTGTCCAAAGACTGGTCGGTGAAACCTCTGGTCGAGAGACACGTGGCCAGAGGTTCAGCTGGTGCGCGGCGTACCTGACCGCGTAGGGCCACAGAAAATGGGGGGCACAGGCGTGAGTCAGGGAGGTGCGGGCGATCTCCATGACCAGGCCTATGCGGCGCTCAGCAACCCCATTCTGCTGTGGGGACTCTGGAAGCGTCCAGGACTGACGAATGCCCTGCTCGCGACAGAATCCAGCGAGAATGCCGGAGCGAAACTCACCCCCACGGTCGGAGTGAAGACAGCTGACACGACGACCACGAGTGTCCTCAGTGGTGAGCAACCACCTTATCAGCGTAGAAGTCACCTCAGACTTCTTCGCCAGAGGGAACACTGTGGTGTAGCGGGAGAAGTCGTCAACGACCACCAGAAAGTAACGCTCACGCTCAGGGCCTAGACGAGGGGCTGGGCCCCAGACGTCCAAGTGAAGCGTCTCAAAAGGCTCGGTGGCCGGACGAAGGGAGGAGGAGTGAGGGGTGGCGCGCAGCCTACCCTCGACGCAGGGACGACACGGCGGCGCAGGCGAAGGCGGGCAGCGACGGCAAGACACGTGGGAGGCCTAGGACAAGACGCTGACTAGACATAGCGCGCAGACGTGGAAGGGACGGGTGCCCCATCCGGTGGTGCCACAGAACGGTGGGGTGGGCAAGCGACCGGCAGGAGCACGACGCAGCGACTGGAACAGACGTAGGAACCTGACACGACACAGACACCTGGGGGGTCGTAGCAACCTGGTGAGACGCGGGGACCCGAACGGGGGGGGGGAACCGGGGGCAGTGGCAGTAGGGGGGGCTGCTGGTGCGGCCGCTGGTGCTGCTGCTGCTGCTGCGGCTGCGGCTGCTGCTGCTGCTGCGGCTGCTGCTGCGGCGCACGCGGGCCAGTGTGAAGAGTGTAGAGACCCGAGCCCGGCTCAGCAGTGAAGGTAGCAAGAGGCTGGTAAGAGTCTCCGTCAACACACACCGCAAGTCTCTCCAGAAGGCTCAAACCACACACCCACGTGCTGACTCACGAGGGGTCGCACGCCCACCAAGTTCCGGGAGAACGAGGGGACGTGAAACCCAGTGAGAGACCCGGAGGGAGCAGCAGGACACGGTAAAGTGGTAGTGTGACGTGCAGTGACTGGTCCCGTAGTGGGATCAGCCAACGCCATAGAAACAGGCGCAGGAAGTGGTGTAAGTGTCGTGCTGTCCCGAAAGAAGCAGTGGGAGGCTCCAGAGTCCAGTGTGAACGACAGCGAAGCGTCCTCTGAGGTAGTCGCTGGTCTAGAGTCTACACAAGTACCTACACTAGCAACAGGCAACTGAGCAAGACTAGCACCTAAGCTAACAACACCAGAGTAAACAGAGTCAGAAACACTAGAGTCAACAACAGCATACATAGCATGAGGAGCACTAATCAGATCAACTAACCGCTCAGCAGACATGCCCCACAAAGCGGAGCCGTAGCGCTGAACCAGAGGAAGCCAGTCAGGAGCAGGACCGCCAACCCCGTAGGTCAACCGGACCGTGTCAGTGAGCTGAGCAAAGCACTGACCAGGGGGGTGAAAGCGGCCACAAGGGTGGCCCCGACGAGGACCTGTCTGAACCTGGTAGGGGCAGGGAGGGTAAGCCGCACCGCGCTGGGGCTGACGCAGCCCCGACCCCGGAGCCAGCTGCTGACGCTGCTGCTGCTGAGGCTGCTGGGAGGAAAGGGGCTGCTGCTGCTGCTGAAGGTGCTGCTGACGCTGAGCCTGGTACCACGTCGCTGCTCCACCTAGCGGGGCCGGCAGTACAGGGGGCGACTGACGAGCTCGAGGGTCGCCGCCACCAGCAGGTGCAGTGGAGTCACCAGCCGCTGCACGAGGGGTCTCTCCAGACGCTGCACTCCCACCACCGTCAGTCGCAACAGCACCCCCACTACCTCCGCTACCTCCGCCTCCACCTCCACCGGAACCACCTTTCTTGCCCCCCCTGCCGCGGGACCGCGACGCAGTCGTAACAGCAGCCGCAGTCGCGTCAGTAGCGGCAGGGGCAAGAGAGGCAGTGAAGGTGGGTAACTGCGGGACTGTGCACCCGTGGAAGAGTGGGGGGGACACAGTACCAGAGGCGGCAGCTACCGAACGAAGGTTGCTCTCGACGTCCTTGAGTGCAGACTCAAGGACCTCGATAGTCAGCTCACTAGGGTGCTTCAGCAGAAGCGCGTCACGAACGGAGGCAAGGCGGTCAGGGAGGCTAGTGGCGATGAAATGGACAGTAATCGCCATGGGGGGAGGAAGCAGTGCAAGCTGTGCCTCAGTGCAAGCAGCGCGGTAACTAGTGTCGAGCGAGCGGAGGTGAGCGATCAAGTCAGCAGAGCGCTCAAACGAGGCAAGATCAGGAAACAGGAGCGGGAGGAAAAGACGGCCGAGAGAGACAGTAGCGGGAGTAGAGTAGCGGGCCTTAATCGCAGTGAGGTACGCAGCAGCGGTGCGAACCTGAGTAAAGTGGACCTCCTCGGACTCAGGGAGGAGGCTGCTGAGTGCGATGCAGGCCGCAGCGTCACGCGACGTCCAAGCCGTCCGGTCAGCGCGCTGACGGGCGAAGCGAGCCGTAGCAGCGTCGTCAGGAGCAGGGCCTAAAGCTGTAGGCTCGGGGGGCTCGGGGAGGTCACCAGTAGCGTGTGACCAGAGGGTCTCGCCCCCCTGGACCTGACTCTCTAACAGACGACGAGCGCGAAGAAGCCAGACGGAAAAGTCAAGGGGTTCTACCGTCGGCGTCGAAACGAAGAACTCGCGGAGTCGCCATAGTGAGAATTAACGCGAACGAACAGGCGAGTAACAACCGGGGGGGAAGAGGACTCAGTCGCAGCGGAAGAGCGGGCTAGGGCGACGGGCCAAGACCTAGGGTAGGGCAACGGGCCAGGGCCTAGGGTAGGGCGACGGGCCAGAGCCTAGGGAGGGCGACGGGCCAGGGCCTAGGAAGGGCGACGGGCCAGGGCCTAGGGAGGGCGACGGGCCAGGGCCTAGGGAGGGCGACGGGCCAGGGCCTAGGGAGGGCGACGCGACGGGGGGAAAGGGCGCGACGCGACGGGGCAGGGCGACGCGACGGGACAGGGCGACGCGACGGGGCAGGGCGGCGCGACGGAGCAGGGCGACGGGACAGGGCAGGGCGACGCGACGGGGTTAGGGCGACGCGACGGGACAGGGCGACGGGACAGGGCAGGGCGACGCGACGGGACAGGGCGACGGGACGGGGGGGGGTAACAGGCGGGTGCGACGCGACGGGGGGAACGGGCGCGACGCGACGGGGGGGAACGGGCGCGACGCGACGGGGGGAACGGGCGCGACGCGACAGGGGGAACGGGCGCGACGCGACGGGGGGAACGGGCGCGACGCGACGGGGGGAACGGGCGCGACACGACGGGGGGGAACGGGCGTGACGCGACGGGGGAGATGGCGCTAGGCTCGGTACTAGGCGCGGTGGGTAACAACGAAACTGGTACGAACGAGAGGTAGGATCAGGCTCGGGAGGTACGAACGGAGAACGGAGGAACGGGATCCCACAGGATCCTAACCTAGCTGATACCATGTCAGAATGAGGAATGAGTGTTCCATTGATGTTGGTTGGGGTACATATGACAAACCCTAACTTCTGTACCCCCTAAGACAAACCTCACTACAGGCTACAACATTTGACAGTTAGCAGGGAGGGAGGGAGATGGCAAGAAGGAAGTGAGTTGGCAGGGAGGGAGTGAGTATCCAAGATGTAGAGAGTTTTTAGGGAGGATGTGGATTAGCAGGGAGGGTGTGGGTCAGCAAGGATGTAGAGATTAGGCAGGCAGGAACTAATTTATCAGCGGGGAAATGAGTTCATAGCAAGGATGTGAGTGATTGGCATGGAGCGAGTGAATTAGTCTACTGCCACTTGTGCAATACTATGATGATTCTAATCCTGTACTACCACAATTACTGCAATATTGTTCACTCAACCACCACTCGTCGAAGTCACACCCACGTTAGTGCGAGCTTGCCACAAAGCTTACGCTACTATGAACTTGTCACGAAGTTGTTTTATGGTACCGTATACAGTAGATTTGGCGTGCTTTTACTATGAAGCATTTTACTGCTCTGCCACACTGCTTGTGGAGAACACTTTCCGCGTAGTAGTTAATTAAGCGAAACCCGTACCACCGCACCACACCTCCCCTTCCACTGCAGCACCACTGCACGTAACACTGCATCTCTTTGCAGCACAACATGGTAGGACAGTGTAGCAACACAAGCATGAAGCAAGGTTGCCACTTGCTCTTGGTATCTTGTCAACCATGCGGGTCAATTTTGGAAAGCCACACTACTGAAATCTCAGTAGTGCTGTCCTTGGCACATAGGCGCTCTGTTGATGCGCCTCAATCTTCTGTTTGACTCGTCGGTAGCCCATCAAAGCTCGTCAGTGCTGTCCTTCGCACATAGGCGCTCTGTAGGTGCATGGTAGGGGAGGGCAGAGGCAGAAGCAACGGTGGTGGGAGGAGGGAAGAGATACATTTTGCATCGTCACATCACCCTGCCCAATCTTGTACCTGAATCTCAACAAAGATGTCTTTGGCACATAGGCGCTCTGTTGATGCATGGCAGGGGAGGGCAGAGGGAGATGCAACGATGGTGGGAGGAGGGAGAGTGTGAGAATGCAGGATATGGAGGTGTGAGTGAGAGGCAGAGGCATGCGCACACACATACGGGAGTGAGAGCACGTGGGGACCATGGGGGACGGTCAATCAGGACATCCACGGGTGCGTTCACGGCATGCAAGAATGTGTCACGAATGGGTAGGGTGCAGGGCGGAGGGTTTGGGGAGGAGGGACAAAAGAATTGGGTCGAGGGAGTGGCGAAGGGGGACACGTGCTCAGGTATTCGTGGGTAGAGACCATAGCAGTGCCCCAGAGCATGGTGCTGGCATAGGTTGGTTTGTGAGGAGGTGTATACATCAGGTAAAGGAGTAAAGGTGGAAAGAAGCACGTACTGAGGTACTCGTAGGTAGAGACCATGGCAGTGCCCCAGAGCATGGTGCTGGCATAGGTTGGTTTGTGAGGAGGTGTATACATCAGGTAAAGGAGTAAAGGAGGAAAGAAGCCACGTACTGAGGTACTCGTAGGTAGAGACCATGGCAGTGCCCCAGAGCATGGTGCTGGCACAGCGAGGGGCGAAGCCACGGTACAGCCCTCTCACCCCGTCCTGCTCCACTAGCTGCCTCACCACCGCGGCCACTGTCACTGCTGCTCCGCTCCTGCGCCCCACCTGCCATGTGTGGGGGAGAAGGGAGGGGAGTGCGAGTGGGATGGTGTGTGGGATGGTGTGAGTGGGGTGCACAGCAGCACTGGCACCTGGCGCCCTCTTTTCAGGTGCCTCAAAAGCCTGTTGAGGGGAGGGGAGGGGAGACTGTTGAGTTGGCTCACGATGATCCACCGGCTGTCCGACCCCCACTGCCACCTTCACTCCTACTACTGCACTTCACTCCTGCACTGCGCCTCACCTGATGCGGAGTCAGGGAGGAGGAAGGGGGGTATGGGTGAGTGGGTTGCACGGCAGCTTTAGCACCAACAGCTCTCTCAGCCCGCCCTGCTCCACCAGCTGCTGCAACATACCAACACCCACCCTTCACCTGAATGCGTGTCTTGACGGTGTCAAGTGGGGTGGTGGCGAGGGCGGACGCCAGCCCGGCACACATGCCGCCCCCCACCTGCACGCCCACCACCAGCGCCAGTGGGGGCGCTGCTGCTGCGCCGCCTGCTGGTGCCCACAACTGGTCGTACAAACTGCGGAGTGATGTGGTTGGGGGAGGGGGGGAGCGGGGTTGGCAAAGTGGGGGAGACGGGGAAGGGGAAGAGAGGGTGAGGGAGAGGAGAAGAGAACAGCCCAGGGAAAAGAGCACGCCGCACAGCAGTGTCGGCCCTGCGACCTCACCTCACCTCACCTCACCTCCAGAGCGAGCAGTGATTTCCTGACTTGATTGAGACCTTTCCCTTCCACCAGTCCCTCCCTTGACATGCGGCCTCACCTCCAAAACAGGCGTTGCGTGGCGCCATAGGTGCCCCACCAGATGAACCCCGAGGGAGCATACGTGAGCACCGACAACCCAAACCCACGGTACAGCCCACGCGGGCCCCTCCGTTCGCAGTATCATCACCAGTGCGTCAATCCCCCCCTTATACCGCACTGCCCCCGCCCCTGCCCCTCCTCCTGCCGCTGCCGCTCCTGCTCTTGCTGCTCCTGCTGCCGCTGCTGGTGTGGAAGCTGCTAGCGGCGCTCCTGGTGCAGCGGGTGCGGGTCTGGTGGCGTGGTGTGGCAGGTCGCCCTGCTGTGCCACGAGACGAGAGCTGATCTGATGATGGGCGAGTGGGAGGAGCGGGTGGGATAAGGGAGAACGGCACGTGCGAGGGTGGGACGGGTTGGGACGAAGGGAGAGTGCGGCAGGGGGACGGAAGAGATGGGAAAGAGAATAGGATTGTGGGAGGGGAAAACGGCGGGAGGGGAAAACGGCGGGAGGTTGGATGAATGAAGAACATGGAAATCCTCCTCCTGCCCTCCCTTTCCCCTCCCTCCTCCCCAATCCCCCACTCCCTCATCCCAGACCATCACTCCCAACCCCCCTGTCCCCCACTCCCTCCCCCTCCTCCCCCACTCACCACGTCCACGGGCACAACAACAGCCTGGGTGGCAAGGGACGCGCACATGCCGCCCACCGCACTCGCCAGCCCTGCTGCTGCCGTATCAGACAAATGCAGCCACCGCCCCGTGCCGCCACCACACCGCCACCCACCACACCGCCACTGCCACCTCTGCTCTCAGTGCTCCCGCTGCTCCCACCACTGCCCCTGCTGCTACCGCTGCTTGTGCTGCTGCTGCTGCTGCCGCCACTACCACTGCTCGTGCTGACAGCATCGTCAGACGTCCCCTCTACAGGCTGATCCGTTACCCCGTTAATCCCCTTGAGCGTGTTGGCCTTGACAGCCTCCAGCACGGCCATATAAATGATCCGCCCGGGGAGCATACCCGCCACCCACAGTCCCCATGCCGCGGAAGAACCCCCTCACGCCCCTCCGTGCGCGCTATGTGCCGCGCCATGCCCACCGCTAGGCTCACGGAGGACGGGCCCCTGCCCCCCGCCGCTGCCCGCGCTGCCCCTCCTGCTGAAGCTGCTCTCCCTGTTGCTCCCCCCGTTGCTCCGCCTGCTGCTCCCCCCGTTGCTCCGCCTGCTGCAGCTGTTGCTCCACTCACCGCTGTTCCAGTTGTTCCTGGTGTGACCGTGTGACTGGTGTTACAGCTGCTGCCACCTGTAGTTGCCCTTTTGTCTCCGCCTGTTCTTGCAGTGCCCGCTGCTGTCGCCGCGCCATTCCCACTAACGCGGGCTTCCGCTCCCGCCCCCCTCCACCGCCCGGGATGCTCCCGTTCCCCCCGAACCCGCCACCCCGCTTGCTCCCGCCAGCCCTGCATTGCCGCTGCTTGCGCCGCAGGCCTTGCGGGAGCAGCAGGCGCGCCCGCTCCGGGGGAAGCAGAAGCGGAAGCGGAAGAGGAAGGGGGAGCGGAAGCGGGGGCGGCATGGGCGGCGGAGAGCGGGAGCGGAGAGACCTGGAGGCGCGTTTTGATGACGGAGAGCGGGTAGAGCGCAACGGTCAGTCCGCTGAAGAGCCCCGCGCCACCACGAACATGCGCGTCTTGTCCAACCTGCCGCGCGCGCGCGCAGGATCCGCGGAAGCGGGGGGTTGGGGGATGGGGAGACGAGGGTTTGGGAAAGAGAATGTGGGGAATGGCTGTGGGAGGACGAGTCAAGAACCCTAGCAGTTTGGAATGCTCTATTGCGCAAGGACGATCCGCGAGGAAAGATGGGAGCAGACGCAACAGAGAGGGGACCGGAAGAAAGATCGATGAAAGGCGCGGATGGCGCTGGGGATCAAGTAGTGAGTGACTGGCTAAGGAGGAGAAATGCGAGGGCGAAAGGATTTGGAGGAGGTAGAAAGCGCGAAGGGACACGCGGGTAGGGCCTCGGTGAAATCGTGGAAGGCGGGAGCGGACCAGCGAAGGAAGCGTGGTTTTTACCGACGGACCTGTCCCAGTCGATTTCAGGCGATGCGGTGCGAGGACGCAGCGCACCGTGGTCGGGCAGGGACGCCATGGCTGCTGGTGTTGGGTGACCAAGAAACTGAAGTCGTGTGGGACTTTGCATGATGTAAAAAACGGTTAATATAATTTAAGATAGCTACTCTCTCGTGACTCCATGGCCCAATGGATAAGGCGCTGGTCTACGGAACCAGAGATTCTGGGTTCGATCCCCAGTGGAGTCGCTTCTGGGTTCCACATACGGTTTTCGCTAACCTTGGCTTACATAATCTTTACCACAATATGTCAAAACACCAACATGTTTCCCTCCCAAATAGATTTTAACTTCGGGACCAGGCTCCTACGGAGCAGCCCGAATGAACCCCCTACCCCAGTGGTACTCTATCACCCCACCAGCATCCCCAGACTGCCCCATGCCCACATGGGCGGCAGCAGCAACCGAGACATTCAATAACGGGCGGCACGAGGGCGGCAGCAGGCGCACCCAAATGCCACACGCGGATCCCATGCACGCCTGCATTCGCCTTGAGGCTCGCACTGGGGCTGCTGCCACTCACACACGCACTCCCACATGCACTCGCACACGGGCCCGAGTGTGTGGAGTGGGCAGGCGCATGGGCGTGCCGTGTTGGACCTGTGCCTGTGCCTGTGCCGGTGTGCTGGCTTGCTCCATAGTTCACTGCTGGGCTTGCTCCGAGGCTCACTGCTCCATGGTTCACAGCAGGGCTTGCTGCTGCATGGCTGACTGCAGGGCTCCCAGCACCTGTGCTCTGAGGCACTCAGGCATGGGTTGGTGGTGGTGTCTGGGGCAGTGCCGTGAGTAAGAGGTGGTGGTTGTTGCTGTGGTGTGGTGGCGACGGTGCTTGGGAACGGGTGCTGGTGCTGTGCCTCCTCCCGTGCTGCCGTGTTTCGTGCCACTCGTGGTCTCCCTCTGCCGCTACCCATACCCATGCCCATGCCCATGCCCATGCTCATGCTGAGTAAGTTGCTGTTGCTGATGAAGCTGCTGGTTAAGATGTTGGTGGTCATGATACTGCAGAAGCCGCTTGGAATTCTGCATTTTCTGCTGCTGCCGCACTGCGTGCCCAGCACGTCTTCTATCGGAGATGCTTGTAGCGAGGCACTGGCAGCAACGCCAGTAGAGCTTTTCCTACCCTGCTGGTGCTGGCTCCTTCGCACGCTGCTCTCCATGCTCATGCTCCGACACAAGCTCCTATCCCTCTTCTCACACCTGGTCATGCCTCCAGCCATAGGCTCGGCAGTAGGCTCGGCAAGAGGCTCCACAAGAGGCTCGGCAACAGGGTTTCCTGCGGGTTCGTGAACGAGCTCGGGATTATGCCAGCTAGATTCCATCTGAATGGGCTGAAGCTGCTGACTTGGCAGAATTTCCTCCTGATGTGGCATAATCTCATGCTGAAGTGGCTCCAGGGCAGAGGCCAGTGAGCCACTGTGTGCGGCTGGCTTTCTTTGATTGGGAAGCTGCAGCAGCCCCTTGCCACGTGGCACCCTGTAACTGGCCAGGCTGGTCCCCTGCGGAACCTCTCCCTCTGCTGCTTGAATTCCCCTAGGTTGATTTTTCCTGCCCATGCTTTTTCCTCCTGCCCCTGCTTTTCCTCATGGAACTGTCTTCTCTCTGTCTCCTGCCTTCTTTCCTCACTGCCTTCCTGGCCCTGCTGCCTTCACATGATCACCCTCCTCCCTTTCCTCTGCTCCAACCACGTGCTTTCTCAGAGAGCGATGGCCGGTGGGTGGTGAGAGGGCGAGAAGGAGGAGGAGGAGAGCGGGTGCCGAGGCCGTGAGGGGGCCGAGGGGAAGACGAGGAAGGAAGAGGGGAGGGCTGGGAACCCGAGTGGTTGTTTGTGACGGGATGGGGAGGACGAGAGGGGGGAGTGGCGGGACGAGGGGTGCGGGGGAGGGTGGGGAAGACCCGGTGGGCTGGGGAGGCGCGGTGACGGGGGGAGGGGAGGGGCGAGGGGGAGGCGAGGGCGCGGGTGGGAGAGGGGAGCGGAGGTAGAGGGGAGCGGGGGGAGGGGGAGCGGGGGAGCGGAGGCGGCGGGCGGAGGGGGAGAGGATTGTTGATGTAGAAGGGCGAGCAGCCGTACGGCCGAGGGGGTGCAGACCAGCAGCAGCGGGTGAAGGGGAGTGGATCCAATCCTCTAGGTTGATCAGCGTATTCAGCTGCGCGTTGGGCTCGCCTGCAGCGGACAGAGGGGGGGGCAGGGGGGAGGGGAGAGAGAGGGAGTGTGAGTGGGGAAAGGCGAGGAGAATCTAACAGGCAATTCTCAACGCGGGCAAGCGCCCAGGAATGGCTGCGTGCGTGCCAGCAAGGGGGTAGAGACGCAACCCAGCAAGGGGAATGGAATAGGTGAGAGGCGCAACCTATCTTGAGAGGCGCACCTATCTTGAGAGGGCACCTATCTTGAGAGGCGCACCTATCCTTGAGAGGCGCACCTATCTTGAGAGGCGCACCTATCTGAGAGCAGAGAGGCTGCTCCCCGCGCCCGCCACGTCCATGGCTTCCCCCGCTCCCCTCCGCCCTCCGTGGGGACTCCCTGGTGCCTGATCCTCATCGGCCACTCCCCACCGCACCGGCTAGCGGCGGCTGGCAGCAGCGACAGCACCAGTGTCCGGTCATGCTGTCAACACGTTGTTTGTTACCGGCGGCATTGCGGCAACCAGCACAGCGTGTGCACATCCCCCCCCACCACCAGCGCCAGTTGCGCCAAGGCCGCTGCCACCCTCCACCAGAGGAGTTCCGCTGCAGACGCCTCTGGTGCAGCGATAGCTTTGACTGCCGCCCGGATGAGGAAGACGGGCGGCTGCCGGCCGACAGAGGCCGCCCGGAGGAGGAAGAAGGGCGGGCGCCGGGAGGAGTGGCTTGGCGTGTTGTTGGTGCATGTGGGGCGGCAGGGAGGAAGGGACGGGGAGAGAGGGAGCGGATGCGGGTGCCTGCTTCTGTGGCAGGTGGAGTGGGAGTGTTGGTGGTTGTGCCCTTTATTGCTTTCTCCTCAACACTGTTGGTGTTTGCTGCTGCACCAGCACCGGAAGTGGCAGCGGCAGCACCAGTGGCAGCAGCAGCAGCAGCAGCAGCTGGTAGCAGGCGCAGCGGGAGCATGAGAAAGGGGCTTGACATCGGTACCTTGCCATGTGATTGGTCCATGCAAACGTCTCATGGGCCCCAGGAGTCCCACCCTCGCTCGCTGCCATCCCACCCTCATGCTCTGGGCTGCACCTGTTTCAAGGTGCCTGTCGCGGCCCCCATCACCATTTTCACCGCTCCCCCGCTTCTCACCCTTATGGTCTTCTTCACTCTGGTTACCAATGTGGTTACCACTGTCTTGGTTACCACCATCTCGCTTCACCCCCATCCCCCTATCCCCATCCTCGCCAAGGCGCGCCCCTCCCCCCCGAGCGCGCAGGCGGGCCTGGCGCTTGAGGTGCAGGTTCCAGAAGTTCTTACATCGTTGTCCGTGCGGCCGGGCAGGTGGCGGGCGATGTGCGCCCAACTTGTTGGCCCACGGCGCGCTGCAGCGCCCATCACCACACTTGCTTCCGCCTCGCTGAACCGCTTGCACCCCTTGCCTCCATACCTCTGCCAGGGGGGAAATTACGGGAGAAGGGGAGAGAATAGGGGGGAGAGGAGACATACGTTCAAATGGGCAGTGGTGAAACCAGGGAGGACAATCTGGAAAACTGGCCAATCGTATTCACTCGGGGTGACCCCGAAGTGTCCACGTCTGCTTCGGGAAAAATTCGGGGGCGAGTCCTTGGAAGTCTCGCTCAAACCAAGTGTTCTCTGTACACTCTTCCCAACCTTGCCATGCAACAATAACTTTTTAATGTAAAACCGCGAGAAATGAGTCTACTTTTTGAGTCGACTCAAAGCGGGAGAAGGGGAGAGAATAGGGGGAGAGGAGACATGCGTTCAAATGGGCAGTGGTGAAACCAGGGAGGCAGGGGAGGCAGGTGAGGCAGTGAGGAGGAAGAATGGGGCAGGTGGCGGGCGATGTGCGCCCACTTGTTGCCCACGGCGCGCTGCAGCGCCAACACCCACGCCTCGCTGAACCTCTTGCACCCCTTGCCACCGTAGCGCTGTGGGTATGCAGGGTATAGGAGAAGGCTGGAGAAGAGGGAGGGGAGGGACGGAGAGACGGAAGTTAGACAGCAGTGGTGAAATGGCCGCAGGGAGGCAGGGAGGCAGGGGGGAGAAGAATTGAGCAGTGGCAAGAGCCGGCAGAGCAAGGTACAGCAATGCAACCCAGCATTGTTGCCAGGCTCTCTCTGTGCCTTCGCCTCCGCCTAAGGCATCCCACCTGCAGACCCGGATTGAGCTGGTTAACCCATCGCAGGCAGGCATAGTTCATGAGACGACGACTCACAAGTCAACTCTTTTGAGTCAAGTCAATTCGAATGTGCCTAATTCAGTTGACTCAAGAGTGGCTTTCCTTCTCAGCTGATTCAAGGAACCCACCTGCACGGCCGGGCTTCAGCTGGTTGACCCATCGCAATCGGCAGCTCTTGCCCGAGCGTCTGAGCAGCCCTCTGGCTCTGAGTGCGCCCCAGTTGCAACGGGCCGTGGCAGCGCACATACTCCATCAGCACGCCGTCCTCCTCCGGTAACCACGTGCCCTTCGCCAACCCTTGCTCCTCCGGGTCGCTGCTGTCGCCGCCCGTCGCCGCCCCGCCGCCCGTGCTTGTCCCGCCGCCCATGCTTGTCCCGCCGCCCATGCTCGTGCCCGCGCCCAGGCTCGTGCCGCAAATGCTGGTGCCACCCAAGCTTGTCTCGCCGCCCAGGCTGCAGCTGCTCATCCCGGCGCCTGTCGCCCCTCCTCCGCTCATGCTTCTGCTGACGTCATATGAGCCCACAGCAGCAGCACCACCACCAACAGCACCAGCACTACCAGCAGCAGCAGCAGCAGCAGCAGCAGCAGCAGCAGCAGCAGCAGCAGCAGTTTGGGAAGGAGGTGAGAAGCCGAGGTCAGCATCGTGCAGCAGTGCCTGAGCCAGGGCCTGGTTCTCCCGCTGGAAGGATGGAAGATCCCACTCTGGTGAGCCAGGGCGTGCCTCGCCACTCTTCTGCACTCCACCAATGCTGCCACCAGCAGTGGCCGCCGCAGAAGCAGGAAGAGGAGGAGAGTGGAAAGGAGGAGCGGCAGGGTCAGGAATGGCGGTAGCAGAAGTGGTGGCGGCAGGGGTGGTGAGCAGCACGTGGCTGCTGCGGCTTCGGTTCATGCCCGTGCCGGCTGTTGCTCGTTTGCCGCCTCCCGTGGGCCCAGTTGAGTGACACGAGGCCTGGCACTGCTGCTGCTGCGACTCTTGCGCATCCCGGCTCGTGCTGCACTCTCACTTCCACCACCACCACCACCAGCATTGCCAGCACCAGCATCGGCAGCAGCAGCAGCGCCAGCAGCGGTGCCAAAGGCAGCAGCAGCGCCCTCAATGACTGCAGCTCCCCCGGGCACTCCAGCAAAACGCTCAATGCAGCGGGCGCCCGTTCCCCTCCGCTGCGCACTCACTACCGCCTCACTCGCCCAAAACAGCGACCGGCCTGCTCCGGCTGGTGCTGCTGTGGCTGCGCCAATGCGCCACTGCTCACAGCACCGCGCTGCTGTCAAGAAGAAAGTGTTCGTTCCCACTTCCGCCGCTGCAGCCACTGCTGCTGCTGCGCTGTCCAGAGGAGCCGCATTCGCAGGGGGCGCAGTGCTGGCCCGTGGCAGCCGCATGCGCGCACTCGTGTTCACATAACCGTTGCCGCGTTGTCTGGGAAGGAGCGGTGCCAGGCACTGCAGCCGTGCCAGGCACTGCAGCCGTGCCGCGCACGTGTGGGTGAGTAGCCGTGCCAGGCAATATCTTAGAATTCTCAAATGCCGCAGCATTTGAACCAGCAGTGGCAGAAGCGGCTGCAACGGCAACGCGGAGTTTCCAACAGCAGCAGTCGCAAGCGCAGGCACGGGCGGCGCAAGGCGCAACCCACCGGGCGGCATCTGAAGCAGCTGAGCGACGCCGCCCTGGCGCCGCCTTGCCCCCCTTATAGTCACTTGACTGCACCACCAGCGCCCTCCACTCGGGCTTCCGATCGGCTGGTGGCTTCAGGTCCGACCAAGCCTGTGTGTGAGGCTCGGATTGGAGCAGCAGGGTGCTGCTGTTGCTGTTGCTGCTGTAGCATCCAAAGGTGGTGGATCGGGAGCAATGGCGGAATGCCCAGTGTACAACGAGGCGCTTGTACGAGTACAGCGGACGAGTCAACTCCAATTACGCTACTCTGTCCCACAAACGAGGCGTCGTGTGCTTGCTCCTCCGAAGAGCCCACTGAACAGCTGAACCGCAAATGGCGGGCCCATGTTGCACGAGGCAACCGGATATGATCATACTCAGCACCGGCGCCCATCATAGGCGTCCGTTATAAGCCGCCTCGAGAAGAGCTCCGTCCAGATGGCTTGGGCAGCGACGGGCAATGCGGTCGTCGAATCCCATCGCGGGGCCGCACTGGCCTTGGCCGTGCACCATGCCGCCGCCAATCCGCCGCCAATACATCGCCACTGCCGCTGTGGGTACCGCCACCCAGTAGATCTTCCAATGACGTGCCGCCCAACAGCATGTCACTCGCGCCGCCCAAATGAAAGTCACTGACCCAGGAAAACGTCGTTTGTGCCGCCCAAACTCGCATCCCCCCGCCCAGGAGCATGGCCATCATGTGAGGGTTCCCTGCGGGTCGACGGGCATCCCATTGGTTCACGTCATCCGCCATGGCCATCTGTAGCGCCTCCATCGACATTGACATTGCTGTGCTGCTGCTCCCTCCATTGTCCCGCGCCGCGCTCGACGTGCGTGACGGGTTAACGGACTGACGGAATTGACGGAATTTGACGGAGTTTGAGAGTTGACGGAACCTGAAGGAGTTTGACGGAAATTGACGGAGATCGTGAGGGCGACCGCTGACGGAACTGAGCCGTTATCGGAATCGTTGTCGGAGCTGACGGATTTTGTCTCAAATTGACGGAATGTGTGGCCGGACTTCTAATCTGCGCAAATCGGTACGAGGAGGACTGAGGCCGCGGATGTGCGAGCGATATGGTGCGCGCTGCTTGGAATCGCGATATCGATCGGATCGATCGGATCATCCACGCTGCTCG